CTTGTAAAAGGTGGAGAGAAATCATAAATGATGATAGATGGTTGGATGTATAAAAAAGAAACAGAATGGGAAGAGAGAAGAGCTAAATTAGAAGAGAAGGATAAATAAAAAGAGGAACATAGAGCATTATTTAAATTTACATCTTTTTAAGAATATATTACTAGAGATGATGAAAAAATAAAAAAGAAGTTAGAAAAAATTATATCAGAATTAGAAGGTACAGTAACTAAAACTAAAAATGATAAAAAAAGAGAAGAAGAAAAGAAAGAACATCCAAGAGAGAGAGAAAGAGATGCTAAAAAACATAATACTAAAGCAGAATTAGAGAGAAAATATAAAGAGAAAATGACAGAATGGAAGAAAAAAGAGGATGAAAGAGAGAGAGAAAGAAAAAAAGAAAAAGAGAGAGAGATAGATCGAGAGAAAAATTTCTAAAAATATCTAGAAAAAGAATTAGCTTATGACAGTGAATAAGAACGTAAATAAATTGGTAAGATTAAGATGAACGAAAGAAAGAAATTCAGGTAAAGGGAATTTGAAGAAGATGAAATCTTTAAAAAGAAAGAATTATTAAAGACCCAAAAACCTCCTGAACCTGAACCACCTTAAATGGTAGTTATTGTTTAAGAGCCACCTGAACCAGAACCTTAATATACATAATAACAATTGCAATAGCAACAAGTAATAATTCTATATTATATTTGATTTAAAACTAGCAATAAATAGAATAAGCTGAATAAATGTAATAAGAGAAATTATAAAAGGAAATTGATTTGAAAGAAGAACTTAAATAAATATTTGCAACCATCCCTACTGAAAAAGAAGAATTATTTAATACTTAAATTAATTGGTAGCTATTTGCCTAGGTATTAATTATATATTTAGTTAATTCCAAGTCTAACTTATTGGAGAAAAAGATCCGTCCATGGCTAAGAGAGAGGTGTATTGAATATTTATCACAAGAGGAGAGAGTATTTATTGATGCCATCATCAAAAGATTATTTAATCGTGAGAAGCCATAAACAATTATAAATAAAGTTGTTAAGAAGGTCTTGGATGACGATAGTGAGCAATTTGTCATTAGAATGTGGAAAATGATCATCTTTGAATTGAGAAAATTAGAAAGAGGTCTGATTTCTTGATGATTTATTAAATAATTTAATAGTTATGACATTCTTTATATTCAAATTATTATATACACTATATTTTTATGAAATAAAAGAGCTTTTAAAAATCTATAATTAATTTCAATCGATAAAAAATTTATATTTACCAATATAATCTATATTAATCATTAAACTAATTAAAAATAAATCTTAAACTTACATGAAAATTCTTTCATTTAAATTGCTGATATCATCCCTTTAGAGCAATAAAAACAACGTAAAGAATGCCATCAGATTACTTCTTTATTTAATCCACCTAATTATATAAAAAATTATAGTAAAAAGAAATAAACCAATAAAGTATACTCTTTTTTCGTAAAAATTTTATTTATTATTAAATTTTATATATAAATAATATTTTTCTTTCATGCATTTATATGAATGGAAAAATATCTACTGTTTGCTTCAATAGTCAGAATTAATTTATTTATTCTTCTTAATTCAAAAATTCCTAAATTAGAGGTACATAATCCCATGAATAGTTTGAATGTTTTGAAGCTTGATATTAAATACAGAATTCAAAAACGGTGTAATAAGCGCAATAAGTTACTTGAATCATTTCTTCAGAATTTTTTTTCTATTATTAAATAATTATTTTACTACAACAAAGTTCAAAAAAGCCTAAAATTTATCGAATTACTTATTTAAGATAAAATTCCAAAACTAAAAAGCATCATAATATTTTATATAATAAATATGGTTTTTTTTTTTTAAATTTGTGTATTATAAACCATGCTTCTGAAAGTTTGGACAATTTTTGTAAATCTTTCGATTCATATTTGAATTAAATGATTCTGTTTTTAATATTCTAAAATTAATCTTCTATATTAAAAATTGATATAATTTGCTTTATAAGTTTGAAATTTTACATATTCACTACCCAAGCAACGTGATAATCTATAATAAATGCTATCTTCTCCTTTAGATTTCGTTAAATAGTATTCTAATTTCCTTTCTTATTCTATTTATTTATTTTTTTGAAAGTTAGAATTTTCATATATGTTTCTACAATTTGAACCATAAAGATCTCTAAATTCTTAATTTTCATTTTCAAAAGTTGCTAATGATTTATCAGTGCTTATATGATATAATCCAAAATTATTGCTTTACATAAGCATAAGTAGTCAATTTTATTTTATTATTTTTATATATTTATATTAATAAATTTTTTGTGATTTGGATGAATTTAATCCCTGATTCTTATTTCTATTTATTTTTCAAAAATTTCTCCAATTTATTCAAAAAATTCTAGGACAATAAAATATGTATCTCTAGATGGGTTTTGAGTCTTTTTATTTAAAGACTAAAATAAATAATTATTCTTACATCAACATATTATTAAATTAATTAATTATTGGGAAAACATTTTTTAAAATTGTTTCCAGCAATCCTTGAGCTGTTGGTAGATCGATATCTTATTTTTGTTTTGATTATTTGCCAAAATCAAAGCAATATCTTTAGACCAATTTTAGTATATCTTGATTATTATTTTAATCATCTCTTAAAAGTTATATTTCTTCTTCTAAATTAAAAGTCGAGTATGCTTTTAATAATATAAATCCATAGAGAAAATCAGGCTTTGCATAAATGCACTGTTATGTCTTATCGTATTACCATATTTTCTCTTTTAAAAATATAAAAGTTATGAAAGATAACAGGGTCCATTATGTCTATTCCTAAATCGTTCCAAAATTATAGTATTCCATTTTGATCAAAAACTTATTATACTTGAGTAGTATATTTTTTGAATTGTTCCTGATTATTTGAAAATCTAAAATATAATTAGTGGCTTTTAAAAATTCCATTAGGTTTGATTAAGTATTTCTCTAGCTTTCAATTCATTTAATCAAACTATTGTTTTTAGATCTTTAATCATTATATCCTATTAAGCTTGATTAAGACTTGATCTCATTTATATATATAATAATAAATTATCAATATAAATTTTTATTTTTGTTTTAAAATGAATTCTTGTTTCATAAACAGCATAAATAATCTACAGAAACCTAGAGTTAATTTTTCCTTTCTTTTGTTCATTCTTAATTTTATTTAATTGAGTATAAAATCTTTTTTTATGTATCTAAATTACATGTAACATTAAATCTTCTGAAATATCGTTTTAAATTCAACTTTTCTTATTTAACTGTGTATTTTCAACTTCAAACTCTTAAATTTTAAGATCTGTAATATTATCTATTCTTATATACATGCAAATCTAATTTTTATTTTATGATTCTTTCACTTGTTATAAACTAGAAATTTAAATAAAATGAATTGAAATTTTAGGCATGGCAAGAAGATTATAATAAAATCCTCATATATGTGATATGTATACATTGATTAAAATTTCTTATTCAAGTTTGACCAATAAATCTTATCTATTAGATTTGATTTGAGCGATAATTCTTGCTTTTCTAATTATTGTAATTTGATCATTAAAGATAAGAAGATAGATTCTTATTAAAGAATTAGGTTATTTTTTAAAAGTTCCATTATTTTAGCTTTAAGATTAATAACTTTCTATTTATCTTTGAAAATTGATTCTTAGAGAGCATATTAGTGTTATTAAATCTAGGCTTGAATGGGATCTAAGAGTTAATTTTTAAGAGTAAATTTGTATTCAATTAGAACTTTATTAGAAGCTTTGATTGTATTTGCTTCGTGTATATTTTTAATCAATTTAATTCATGAGTAAAAAAGCAGAAAAAAAGAAATAAGAAAAAATAATAGAAGACAGAACGTTTGGACTAAAAAACAAAAATAAAAGCAAGCAAGTTTAAAAGTATATGAGATAAAAATAATTATTAGTTTCTGTAAAGGAGTTGCTTCACAAGTAAAATATAGTGGTGTTTCATTAACAAAATTATAGTCAGAGGAGTTTGAAAGGAAAAAATTAGAAAAATAATTGGAAGAGGAGGATAGATTAATGTAATCTTTATACAAAACAGTTGAATAAGTTAGAGATGAAGAATCTGAAGAAGAAGTAGATCCAAAATCAATATTGTGCGAATATTATAAATAAGGTAGAAATATAATAAAAATGAATAGGTTTATGTTAGAAAGGTAAGAAGTGTATGTACTCACATGATATGAGTTTAGAGTAAAAGACAGCAATAATTGATTTGTATACAGATTAAAGATAATAATTAACAGATGAATGGGATACATGTTAAACTTGGGATGAAAAGACATTAAAAGACATAGTTGAAGCTAATGAGAAAACATATAAAAGGTATATAGATGAT